AATTTCAAAGGTAATTTTCTTTTTCATATGACCTATTTAACTGCTTTCTTTAATACTTTCTTTGATACTTTTTCAAAATACAACTATTCTTATGTCTTTGTAATCTTTAACAAAAGAGCAGGCTCTTCAACACAACCCATTTACCATTAATATTAACAATGTGTTTCCCATTTTTATCATGAATTCCTGTGTAAGGCAAAGGAGGGCCTGTTAGTGGGGGGAAATGTATGTTGCACAGATTGTAGATTTAGAATGTGGGGCTTAGTGCAAATTGTTAAGTTTTTCTCAAGAACCTTGAGATCTGTCATATTTTCTTCATAAATGTTTGAGGAATAACACTATTCTTTGTATCCTGAGAGACATTAAAACACATCTCCAGGCATATCTTAATTGCATCTTTAGTCTCATTTGGGGAATTTTCCTGCCATTTCCGTCAACATGTACTTTTATTATTGATTGATGTATACCCTATTATCCATATCATGAGTATCATAAACAATACATTTAACCCTCCCCATAGTTTCAGTTTCCAAATGGTGTAGCTCTGCCACAGCATCCCCCATGCTGTGACCCTATCAGACAGAGGGTGCAGGAACAACTTAACTACACTATCTATAATACACCAGCTCTTTTCCATATGACTTCTGTGGAACTTGTGATTGAATCTTGAGTTCCAGCCTATAGTGGGTCAATTAATGGTCACAGGATAACAAGTCATTCTAGAACTTATTGGCTTACTCCACCCCTGAGCCAAATCCCCAGCAGTATTTTGTATTTTATTTAAAGAAAGAGGTTGCACTGATTTGCTTAGCACTTCTCCCTTGCTGAAGCTGGCATGGAACTCATGATCCTTCTGCTTCAGCCTTCCAGGACCCTGGGATTACAGGAGTGCAGCATTGCACTCAGCTCTGTTCACAATTTTAATGCCAGCATTCCCTCTTTGCCTTATCAACCATTTTATGCTATATTTCAAATGGATGCAATATTTCTAATTTTTCCTCCAAGAACTGGATGACAGTTTATAGATTTTGATTTCTCTTTGTGAGCATTTCACATGAGAAAAAAGCAGACACAATGAGTTTATTAGAAGTGATGTGAAGGAAGAAAAAGGTGACACTTTAAAGAGAGAGAATGTGTCCACTCTGTAAAGAGAAGAGCATGGCTCTCTTTCTCTCCAAATTTATTAGAGATCTAAAAAAAGATTCTAAAGAATCCTGCCCAGGTACACTTCTTGACTTTGGACTGACAGCGGGATCATATCACACTCTCAAGTATCCACTGCCATGAAAACTTTAGGTTAATTAGCCTTATGTTCATGATTTATAATTGAATTCTTAATCATAAACTCTTTCAGAGTTTATGGTTAGTAGAAATTATCTTTATTTCCCTGAATTCCAGAATCTGGTCTTTAACAAGATCACAAAAGTCTCCCCTTTAGTGTAACTTGTGTTCCTCTTACAAACATTATTTTGAAACTGCATTTCTCCTGCAGATAATAGTTTGTTAAAGAATGTAACACATCCTGTCCAGTTAATCCAGAAAGGGTGCAAGTAAATTGCTTCTTGGAAGATAAAGCATAGGGTCAATGTGTAGGGCCTATTTATTTATTTATTTATTGTGCTGTGTGTTGAAATCAGAGCTAGTCAACCACTGAGCTACATCACCAGCTCCTTTTTTATATTTTATTTGCAGACAAGATCTCATTGATTTGCTTAGTGCCTGGCTGATACGTTGCTGAGACTGGCTCTAATTTCATGATTCTCCTGTCTCACCCTCCCAAGCTGCTGGGAATACAGGTATGTGGCACTATGCCCAACTACCATTTACCTTAAAAGTACTTCAGTTCTTTTACCAGGTTCTGTGAAAATTACTACAATGAAAATATAAATGTAGTCTTTTCTATGATCTAATGACTCCAATTTTTTTAGATGCATACCCAGAATTACTACTACTGAATCATATGACATTTTTATTTTAACTTATTGAAGAACCTTAATACCATTTTCAAAAATACCTTTATTCAATTTATATTCTCACCAGCATTTTTACAGGTGAATCTTTATATCCATGCTCATATGCTCTGGAGTACCTACTATCTTTCAAATTTTTATTGTTTACTTCTAAATATTTTACTTATTTATTTACTAGTCATAGATAGACAAATACCTTTTATTTTATTTATTTCTTTTTATGTGCTTCTGATGCTTGAACACAGTGCCTCCCATGTGCTAGGGAAGCACTCTATAACTGAGCTTGAACCCCAGCCCCTATTTTTCAGATTTTTATCATAGGCATTCTGACAAGACTGCATAGGGTGAAGGAAAGTTTTCATTTGATGCATTAAATTTCTGAGGCAAGTGTGTTATATTCCAGGCTGTCAAGTAGCTAGAAGAAGAGTCTATTGTATTTTCTGTGGTGAAACAGGAATCTGTGGTTTCTAACACATTTTTAACAGGACTGCTGCAAATTTTAGTTTTTGGAAGCAGTTACAAACAATGCAAATCCAACTATTTGTAATGTATGAATATTTGCACATGCTCAGTCTCTGTTGCTTATAGAAATTGGATGTTTAGGATATACTCCCTGGAACAGAAGTCACTAATTTTAGATGCTCAGTACATGGAGAAACTACTTCTGAAAACAACTGGAAGGCCTGGAATTATTACTGGGGTGAACAAGGGTAGGTCAGGGCTCAGAAAGTGCTCAAATATTATTGAGTCTATCGGTACTTTGTTTAATTTTCCCCTTTGGTACCTATAATTGAGTTGAGAGAGAAGCAATTCTTCCAGCAACAGAAGTTAGCAAAACCACTGGAACTTACGCCTAGTGCAGGAAAGGGGCGTCCTTTCTCTAGAAACTTCCAGATGACTAGGAGCAATAAGTAACAATTAGCATTTTGAAAATCATTCTCAGAAAACACCATAAAGAGTAGCAGAAATATCTGACGGATTCACAATTCAGAATTCATTTTTTAATTTGTTGATCATTTTATTATGGAGTCACTAGAGTTCCTTTTATACTCTGAATACTATGAGATAATTAAATATGTAATGTAAAATATTTTCTCCTGCTTAGCAACTTTTAAAAAAAATATTTTCACATGTATGACTCCTCAGCAGTCACATCAATGTTTATAGCAGCTCAATTTGCAATAGCTAGACTATGGACCAACCTAGGTGGTTCTCGAGAGATGAATAGATAAAGAAAATGTGGTATATATGATCAATGGAATATTAGTCAGTTTGAAAGTAGGCTAAAATTGTGGCATTTTCTAGTAAATGGTTGGAGTTGGAGAATATCATGTTAAATGAAATAAGCCAGTCTCGCAAAACCAAAGACTAATGTTTTCTCTATTATGCTGATGCTAATTCAGGAGGGAGGGAGCACTGGGGCAGAATACTTTACCTTACATTAAGTTGAGGGAAGTGATGGGAGGGAGGGGAGAGGGATGTGGGAATAGGATAGACAGAAGTAGATTGAAACAGACATCTTTACTGTATGTGTATATTTGACTACATGACTAATATGATTCTGCAACATGTACACTCAGAAAAATGAGAAATGATATCCCATCCAAGTATGATATACCAAAGTGTGTGTGTGTGTGTGTGTATATATATATATATATATATATATATATATATATGCATTCTACTGTCATGGGGATGAAAGAGAATCTGGGGATGTGGCTTAGTGGTTAAGAACCCCTTGTACTATAATGAGTCAGAGGGAAAACAGGGAAGACAAATCAGAAGGCAGGATGGATCCACACAATTCCAACGAATTTCCCATAATCCCTGCCCTAAAAACCAAGTACTTAGCGTCTGTGTGATATTGGTACATCTGTGAAAATTTGAAAAAATATTTTTTCTTATGATCTGGAGACATAAAAATGGACTTGCAAATTTCTACCAGGCCTGGTAGAATGGGTTGGAAACAGTAGTCACATCCTATACAATTCCAAAGTCATTACTTTAATTGAACCACTTCAGCTGAGTTCCCAGCAAATGTGACTACCATTGGGGTAAAGGTTCAGAGACCACATTGCTCTAGTTTTAGATGAGTGTAAGGTCAGCCTGGGCAACAGAGTCTACCACTGTCTCAAGAAAGAAAAAAAGAGGGGGAGCCTTGGTGAGGGTGTAGCTCAGTGGTAAAGCAGCCTTGGGTTCAATCCCCTGTGGAGACCAGGACAGTGATTGGGAGACAAGTGTCTCAGATGGAGGTCTCTAATGATGTAATGGCAGTGGCATGCTTGGTGACTGGAAAAGTTTCTACGCAAAAGTATAAGATGCCCGGTTGCTATGGCAATGCTCTCCATGGGGGAGACTCTGTTGTGGGAGACTTTTCAGCTATGACCTTATTCTCAGGCACAAAGTTCCTTGCTAAGTCAACCACAATGTTTCACCAGTTCCGCTGCTTTAAAGGATGCTTTAAAGTAACTCTAAAGGATGGACTTTCTTGAGAGCTGCACAGTGCTCTTAACATTGCAAATTCCAACTGTAGAATGTAACGGAGGAAATAGCTGCATACCGTTGCTAACTGTGTAACTTTCATAAATACAAAGAATAATGCTTGCATAGTCTTTAATATGATCAATGAAAGATATACAATAAAGATTGCTGGTGTAATTCTTTTTTTCTTTTTTTTTAAAGAGAGAGATAAATTTTAATATTTGTTCATTTATATTTTTAGTTTTTGGTGGACATAACATCTTCTATTTTATTTATATGTGGTGCTGAGGATCAAACCTAGTGCCCCACACATGCCAGGTGAGCGCGCTACCACTTGAGCCACATCCCCAGCCCCCCTGGTATAATTCTTTAGACCTGCTGCTCCATCATAAAGCAGTGCTCCACACGATCCCAGATGTTGTATCTTCTGCATGTGTGACTCTATATTTCTTCCAATGTCCCATCAAACCTTGCCAGAACCTGCTAGCTTCGCCACACTTGCCGCAGCAATCCCCAGTAACAAAAATAAATAAATAAACACCATCAGTCTCTAATTAAATCACTTCATATATTTTTTGATATGTTAAAACAAGGTATATGGAAACTAAAAATTCCTATAAAATCTGATGTGCTTCTCAGAATATTTAATAGTCTAACATTTTCTAATTCATTAAATATGGAAAAATTAGAGTTCTATCTGGGCATCGTGAAATGTTTAAACACAGTCACTGACCATCACAGAAGAAAAAATAAAATACCAACCACAGAAACACAGATATTCTCTATCTCAACATTTGCCTTGGGTAGATTACTGCTACTTTGATGATCTGTTCCTGTCTGTAAGTATCCATACCCAATACCAAATATAATGAAAATTACTGATCCCATTTAATCACAACTGGTATATATTTTCGCCTCAGAATTGGCTAATATTTTCTGTTTTCTCTATTTCAATAGCATTCTAAGGCAAATTGTCCTTATCACTAACAGGACCAAATAAATTTTCAGACTACTCATCAGCTTTTCACAAATGACCTGAGCAGAGACGTTTTTGCAGGAGCACATCGTAAATTGCTGACATCCTCCTCCAAGGTTGCTTGACACACTCCTTGAAGACAAGAAAATCTGACACCTTTTAGGCTGTCCTGGACCATGTGGCAATGTGTTCGTCACTTATCAGTTTCACTTGAGCTCCCCAATGACATCATCTCTAAATCAGAGACCTCCATATGGAATTCCTCCACCAAAAGGATCTGAAAAGACAGGCACTTTTAGCACCTTCAGAGACTCCTGCACAATAGAAGCTTTCACAAACTCTTTATGATAAGGACATGATGGCCACTTGTGATGACTACCAATTACTGAGGTTCCCAGAGCAGGAAGCGGCCCCTCATGGACCTTGCTATATTATTATTTTTTAAAACCATACACTTGCTTTTTATTGAATTGGTGAATTTTACAGAGTTCCTGAATTAGTAAACCATGCCTGAGAATCCAATGAAGAAAACAATATAATGGACAAGTCCATCCACCCATCATACGGTTTATTAAAACTTGGTTCCTAATGCATTTTTCTTGGGGGTACTGTGAATCAAACTCACTGGCACTCAACCACTCAGCCACTTCCCAGCCTTCTTTTTTATTTATTATTTGAGTTACTTCTTAGAGACAGGGTCTCACTGAGTTCTTTACGCCTTGTTATCCAGGGAGACCACCTTACAAATCACAACCCTTGGGCTAAGGTTGTGGCTCAGTGGTTGACAATGTGCCTAGCATATGTGAGGCACTGGGTTTGATTCTGAGGAAAAAAAATTATATTTATATATATAAATTTTTAAGAAAATGAAAAGATGGGCTGGGGATGTGGCTCAAATGGTAGCATGCTCACCTGGCATGCGTGGGGTGCTCGGCTCAATCCTCAGCACCACATAAAAATAAAATAAAGATGTTGTGTCCACTGAAAACTAAAAAATGAATATTAAAAAATTCTCTCTCTTTAAAAAAAGTGAAAAAAAATCACAATCCTCCTGCCTCAGAATCTTGAGCCACTGGTATTTCAGGTGTATGCCACAGCACCTGAGGATTCTCAAGAATTTTGAGAATTGCAGAGTCTTTCATAAAATTTTAACAATAGTGGAATCTAAGCCTGCTGCAAGTCTTTAAAACTTCTAGTACACTGTACCATTAAATAAACCTCTCCATGTTTATCTCAGTTTGTTCCACATAAGCATCACACTACAAAAGTTTGTAAGAAAATGCATACATGAAGGAAAATATGTGATTCAAGGTCCAAGAGGTTACTTGTTATTTTGTTTGGCCCCCAAATTATGTCTTTGGTATCACAAAGAATATTTTAATTCTCATTTAATCATTGTACATTCTCACTACTTGCTCAGCTACAAACCCAAATCCATCAGAAGGTAACCATCCACCTGCCAGCTCACATGACAACACTATTGTCCAAAAGGGACAGGCAGGTCCTGTCAGGAGATTATGTAGCCCTCCTAGGAGTCTGATTCCTAAACTGATGTACTCACCATGACTGAACTCCTACAAACAATGCCCACACCCCAGGACAGTTGCATTCACTCCAGTCCCTCATTCTGCCCAGGAACAAGCCTGCAACTACTGCCTTTGGCAAATGGATTTATTACAATGAAGTCCAGACTGCATCAAGTGCTCACACAACTCTATGCAATATTTCTACTAAATTAAAAATGTAAAACTAGGAAATTGCCACACTGACTCATTAGCTGCAAAGAAAGTTTTTGGAAATCCTGGGAAGCGTTCAAAACTATCTTTTAATGAAGTTTTACTGGATGGCTTAGGCTGTATTTATCAAAAACAAAAGGGCCACAGCACACTCTTTTGGCCTTCCTTTCCAAATGAGCACTGAGACACAGCAAATGGCTGCAACAGAGGTACCAGTGACAATCAACCCATCTTTGGCATGTTGGCAAACTTCAATATTTGGACACAAGTATGTAAGGAACTCGCACCAATGATCACACAAGATCCATGACACCTGAATACGTTGTGGGTGAGGTTTTGCTGAAGAGGCTTTGAATCCTTAGGACAAGTAACTGAATCCTTTAGCCTGAGCAGAAACAGCCCTCTCCACAGCAAGTACTGCACAATATCACCTGATTGGAGGCTGTAGCTTTATTAGTGATGTAGGGCACATGAGGCTAGACACCCAAGGCAGGTTCCAGGAGCACATTGATTAGCTGCAGGGTTCTGAGGGGTATCACAAAATTTTTTGGATCACTGCTTTGAATTTCATTGATCTTTATTTACATCCAGTGGGACAGGGATGGAGGTTTATATTTTTTGTAGGGGTATACATAAAGGTGTTTTTTTGTATGTTTCTTTGTTTTGATTAGTTCACAGAAACTGCTGTGTGTACCAATTTTAAGATTTGTCAGAGGACTTCCAAGCTTTGCCACAAAAGCAGAAGTCTGTGTTATAACCCACATTGAGATCTTTGCAAAATCTTTTCCTGACATTCTGTTGAAAGAAAATTATGGTGAAGGTCTCTTCAGAATTTATTTAAGATTATTTGGTGGAGAAGAGAGTGCCGCTGAATTAGGACATCAGACTGGGATGCTCCTTATCAAGCCTTTGGTCATGCAGTGTGTATTAAGAAAACCATCACACAATTTTACCAGGGCTACTGAGGTACTCTAAACACAGAGAGAAATCAAGGCTGGCTTTTCTGCATATTCCACCTAAGTATCATTCATGGGGAGAAAACCTAAACTGGATGCAGTTTTAAAAAAAAAAAAAAATTCACTGGTATAAAAGACCTTTAAGAAGGAAGAGATCAGCTGCAATTGTGGAGGAAACACCTGCAGAGCTGCATCTGCTAATGTGGTTATCAGTGGGGTCCACACTCACAGCAGCAGCAAACTCACCACCTGAGCCACGGAGCATTCAATGCTAGAATGCCTGCCTAGCATGCACAAGGCAGGATTCGGTCCCCAGAACTGGGAAAAGAAAAGAGAAAGCAACTCAAGTATAGGGCAAAATATATTTTGAGAAAGTGCCTCTCCAAACAATATACACAAATGATATTATCTTATAATGCTCTTTAATGTGCCTACATACAGCACAATACATGAGCCTTAGAACAAGCACAAGTGACAAGTGTGATGGTCCCAGAGTCATCAATAGATCAATAAGCAATCAAGGAAAAGGAAGAGGCCAGCTGCAGGGTACACAGACACATCCCGATGGTCCCAGCTGCCAGCCTCACCCCATATCAAAAAATAACAATTAAAAGGATTGTGGAGAAACTCAGTGGTAGAGCACTCCTGGGTGAAATCTGAACAAAGAAAGAGAAGAAAGAAGTTCAGAAGAGCCATTTCACCAATCTGTACCAAAGCCTGGAGTGGAGAGGCCTAAACTAACATACACAATATGTAATGAAACATTAGACTCAAAAGACTTAAGATACAGGAAAATGGAATCTAACAATAAGAGAGATTTAACCCAGAAAAACATATTGCTTTCAAATCTTCATGCTGATGCAATGCGCCTCTCCAACCCAGGGTGCAGTTTTGTTACCTCTGAATAGATTTAAAAAAAAAAAAAAGAAAGAAAGAAAAAAGAAATGAAGGCACACACCATTTTCAAACACCTACACTGGTTTTCTCAAAATAAATAAATAAAATGAAATAAAATAAAATTTTCCTCAAGTCTGAACAAGTTCAAATGGATCTGAAACAAGCAAAGTTCTCACCACATTTCTACATACAGGGCTTTTCTCCAGTGTGATTGCTTAAATGCTGTTCAAAGGGAACTGGAAAGTTGAAAGTGTTACTGCAATTTTTAAAGATAGAAAAAGGATTTTCACAGATGTGAATTCTTTTATGCCTTTGGAGAAAACTCTGAAATCTGAATACTGCCCCACATGGCTTATCCTCAGCATTTTCTACAGTATGACTCCTTTCATACAACTGAACAAAACTAGAACGGCTGAACCCTTTATATATCTTACTTGCATAGGATTTATTCTTTTTATTCCAAAACGATATTCCCAGTCCTTAGGAAAAAAAATGAGAAAACTAGTAGATTTCCCACATTTCTCACATTCACAGGGCTTCTCTGCATGAGTGTTTTCATATATAAGAAAGGAAACGAAGCTGACAGAATGTAGCAAATCCCCTAAACTCAGAGGGTTTGTTTTTCAATGTGAGTGAAATGGCTTTGAAGGCAACAGGGAAAATGGAATGATTTGTGATATTTTTCACATTTAAAGAGTTATTCAGTTGGATGTGGTGGTGTATGCCTTTAATTCCCGAGACTCGAGAGGCTGATTCTGAAGAATCAATGTTGGAGGGTAGCCTCAGCACCTTAGGAAGACCCTAAGAAACTCAGCAAGTCCCTGTCTCAAAATAAAAAGTAAAAAGGAACTGGAATGCAGCTCACTGGTAGAGCACCACCAGACTAAATCCCCAGTGGATCGATTGATGATCGATCTCTATCTCACACACACACACATACACACAAACACACACACACATTTTCAGCACTGTGAGCCCCTCTTGTCTTTGAGGATGACATGAAATATTGATTTACCATATTTCACATTCAAAGGATTTTTCTCCAGTAAACTCCCTACATGTATATGAGTGAAACAGTGATAACACAAGAGTTTACCAATTGTTTTCATGCATACGATTTCTATGCAGTATGTGTTTTTTCACATGTGTGAAGCAGACAAGATGTGGCAAAGGCTTCTCCACGTTGTTGACATTCATTGGGCTTCTCTCCAGTATACATTCTTCCATGTCTGTGAATGTCATTGGATCTAGCAAAGGCTTTGCCACACTGCTTACATTCTTAGGGCTTCTCTCCAGTATGAGTTTGTTCATGTGAGTGAAGGTAAGAGGACTGAGTGAAGGCTTTGCCACACTGCTTACATTCATAGGGCTTCTCTCCAGTATGAGTGTATTTATGCATCCGAAGGTAAAAGGCAGTAGTGTAGGCTTTTCCACATTGTTGACATTCATAGGGCTTCTCGCCAGTGTGTGTTCTTTCATGTCTGTTAAGCTGATAGGATATAGCAAAGGCTTTTCCACATTGTTTGAATTCATAGGGCTTCTCTCCAGTATGTGTTCTTCCATGTTTCTGAAGCTGACGGGATGTAGCAAAGGCTTTGCCACACTGCTTACATTCATAGGGCTTCTCTCCAGTGTGTGTTCTTCCATGAATCTGAAGTTGACTAGATCTAGCAAAGGCTTTTCCACACTGCTTACATTCATAGGGCTTCTCTCCAGTGTGTGTTCTTCCATGAATCTGAAGGTAACTAGAACTAGCAAAGGCTTTTCCACACTGCTTACATTCATAAGGCTTCTCTCCAGTATGTGTTCTTCCATGTGCATGAAGCTGATGGGACAGAGCAAAGGCTTTTCCACATTCTTTGCATTCATAAGGCTTCTCTCCAGTATGTGTTCTTCCATGTGCATGAAGCTGACTGGATGTAGCAAAGGCTTTTCCACATTGTTTGAATTCATAGGGCTTCTCTCCAGTGTGTGTTCTTCCATGAATCTGAAGGTGACTAGATCTAGCATAGGCTTTTCCACACTGCTTACATTCATAGGGCTTCTCTCCAGTGTGTGTTCTTCCATGAATCTGAAGGTGACTAGATCTGGCAAAGGCTTTTCCACACTGCTTACATTCATAGGGCTTCTCTCCAGTGTGTGTTCTTTCATGAATATTAAGGTAACTAGAACTAGAAAAGGCTTTTCCACAATGCTTACATTCATAAGGCTTCTCTCCAGTATGTGTTCTTCCATGTGCATGAAGCTGACTGGATGTAGCAAAGGCTTTTCCACATTGTTTGCATTCATAAGGCTTCTCTCCAGTATGTGTTCTTCCATGTTTCTGAAGCTGACGGGATGTAGCAAAGGCTTTGCCACACTGCTTACATACATAGGGCTTCTCTCCAGTATGAGTTCTTTCATGTATGTGAAGGTCACCAGATCTACCAAAGGCTTTGCCACACTGCCTACATACAAAGGGCTTCTCTCCAGTATGAGTTCTTTCATGTATGTGAAGGTAACCAGAACTAGCAAAGGCTTTGCCACACTGCTTACATTCATACGGCTTCTCTCCAGTATGCACTCTTCCATGTCTTTGAAGTTTAAAAGAACTAGCAAAAGCTTTGCCACACTGCTTACAATCATAGGGCTTCTCTACAGTATGAGTTTGTTCATGTGAGTGAAGGTGAGAGGACTGAGTGAAGGCTTTCCCACACCGCTTACATTCATAGGGCCTCTTTCCAGTATGAGTTCGTTTATGTATCTGAAGGCAATAGGCAGCAGTAAAGGCTTTTCCACATTGTTCACACTCATAGGGCTTTTCTCCGGTATGCATTCTTCCATGTATGTGAAGACGACGGGATGAAGCAAATGTTTTTCCACATTGTTGACATCCAAAGGGTTTCTTTCTAGTATGTGTTCTTTCATGAATCTGAATGTAACTAGATCTAGCAAAGGCTTTTCCACACTGCTTACATTCATAGGGCTTCTCTCCAGTGTGTGTTCTTCCATGAATCTGAAGGTGACTAGATCTAGCAAAGGCTTTGCCACACTGCTTACATTCATAGGGCTTCTCTCCAGTGTGTGTTCTTCCATGAATCTGAAGGTGACTAGAACTAGAAAAGGCTTTTCCACACTGCTTACATTCATAAGGCTTCTCTCCAGTATGTGTTCTTCCATGTGCGTGAATCTGATGCGATGCAGCAAAGGATTTTCCACATTGTTTGCATTCATAAGGCTTCTCTCCACTATGTGTTCTTCCATGTGTATGAAGCTGACGGGATGCAGCAAAGGCTTTTCCACACTGCTTACATACATAGGGCTTCTCTCCAGTATGAGTTCTTCCATGTGTGTGAAGGTCACAAGATCTAGGAAAGGCTTTTCCACACTGCTTACATACATAGGGCTTCTCTCCAGTATGAGTTCTTTCATGTGTGTGAAGGTCACCAGATCTAGCAAAGGCTTTTCCACATTGTTGACATTCATAGGGCTTCTCTCCAGTATGTGTTCTTCCATGTCTCTTAAGCTCATAGGATGTAGTAAAGGCTTTTCCACATTGTTTGCATTCATAGGGCTTCTCTCCAGTATGTATTCTTCCATGTGTATGAAGCAGACGGGATGTAGCAAAGGCTTTCCCACACTGCGTACATTCATAGGGCTTCTCGCCAGTGTGTGTTCTTCCATGAATCTGAACGTAACTAGAACTAGCAAAGGCTTTGCCACACTGCTTACATTCATAGGGCTTCTCTCCAGTGTGTGTTCTTCCATGAATCTGAAGGTGACTAGATCTAGCAAAGGCTTTTCCACACTGCTTACATTCATAGGGCTTCTCTCCAGTGTGTGTTCTTCCATGAATCTGAAGGTGACTAGATCTAGCAAAGGCTTTGCCACACTGCTTACATTCATAGGGCTTCTCTCCAGTGTGTGTTCTTCCATGAATCTGAAGGTGACTAGATCTAGCAAAGGCTTTTCCACACTGCTTACATTCATAGGGCTTCTCTCCAGTGTGTGTTCTTTCATGAATGTTAAGGTAACTAGAACTAGAAAAGGCTTTTCCACAATGCTTACATTCATAAGGCTTCTCTCCAGTATGTGTTCTTCCATGTGCGTGAAGCTGATGGGATGCAGCAAAGGCTTTTCCACACTGCTTACATACATAGGGCTTCTCTCCAGTATGAGTTCTTTCATGTGTGTGAAGGTCACCAGATCTAGCAAAGGCTTTTCCACATTGTTGACATTCATAGGGCTTCTCTCCAGTATGTGTTCTTCCATGTCTCTTAAGCTCATAGGATGCAGTAAAGGCTTTTCCACATTGTTTGCATTCATAAGGCTTCTCTCCAGTATGTATTCTTCCATGTGTATGAAGCAGACAGGATGTAGCAAAGGCTTTCCCACACTGCGTACATTCATAGGGCTTCTCTCCAGTGTGAGTTCTTTCATGTACATGAAGGTCACCAGATCTACCAAAGGCTTTGCCACACTGCTTACATTCATAGGGCTTCTCTCCAGTATGTGTTTTCTGATGTCTTCTAAGTAATCTGGGATAAGCAAAGTCTTTCCCACATACCTTACATTTGAAATGTGCATTCCCCGTGTGTGTGATCCTGTGCTTTTGAAGACTTGGGTGTGAAATAAAGGTTCGACCATCTTGTTTACATTCATAGAGTTTCTCTCCAGAATGAGTTCTTTCATGTCTTCTAAATAAAGAGGAGAAATGAAAGGCTTTCCCACATACCTCACATTGAAAAGGTTTACTTCCACTGTGTGTTATCATGTGTCTTTGAACACCTGGGAGAGAAGAAGAGGCTTCACCACATTGTTGACATTCATAGGGTTGCCACCCAGTATGAGTTTCTTCATGTCTTTGAATGTCACTGGAACAACTGATGACTTTCCCACATACTGTATTTTCATGTGGTCTATCTCCAGTTTGGAACAACATTTGTGTGTGAACACTTTTCAGAGAAACCACAGATTTCCTATATTGTTTAAATTCACATGGCTTCTCTTCACATTCCTCATGCTTATAGTATTTCTGTCCAGAGTGAGATGTGATGTGCCTATGAAGGAATGAAGGACATATGAAATCTTTTGCACACATAATGAAGTCACATGGATTTACTCTATTAAAATTTTTCTTTGTTTCATTAAGAATTGGAATCAATTTGAAGCTTTCCCCACACTATTCTGTGGGGAAAGTTTGAAGTTTACCATAGGACTTCTTTGAAGAAGAAGTGACCAGCACATAATTGATACCTAACTCATTCACAATTTTCTATTTATTTATAGGTCTTTACATTTCTACCAACATCAGGTAAAGGCTAGATTTTCTGACTTGTTAAAGTTGCCTGAAAATAAAGAGATTGAAAGGAAACAATCCTTTGCAACACACCTTCTCTGGCTATTATTCACATACTGATATTCACATATGCAATTTCATAGTACTTTTTGCATGTCAAATACTTTGAAAAGACTGAATACCTGTTACAGATAAGTATATATTTCTGGTTAAAAAAATATTATAAGAATAAATACATTTCACATTATGCATACTTCTTCGGTTGGATTGCTTTAAAAATTTTATGACAGTTCTCAGATTCCCTCACAAATTCCTCTTGTGAGTACAGTTACCTTAGGTTGCTTCCAGAGCTTTCAATCTGATCTTCAGTGGTCCTGTATTCCCACTTGTTTCCTAAAATGAGAGAACATAACAATCTTTATGAATATTTAGGAGCTAGAAATGCTTTGCCAAATTTTAGGTGCCATTTATGCTTCAATAATTCACCAACTGATTTCCTTTTCACCTTCTACATAAATGACCAAAATATTAAACATGAGTTCTCTATTTGATTAATTTTAAAACCAACATTATTACCTATACAAGCCAGGATTCTGAGGACTTCCAGCATCACATCTCTGTAAAGGTTCTTCTGGGAAGCATCCAGAAAAGACCACTCCTCCTTGGTGAAGTTCACAGCCACATCCTCAAAGGTCACTGAGATCTAAAATATCCCACAAATGTATAGTGAAGGCCAGAAGAGAATGACAGCATGAGAAATCTGCACTCAACATGCATGATGTTCACATGATTCCCTGGCCTCCTGATTAATTCCATGATTTGGTCCATCAAATCTTTACTGCACTCAATTTCTTACACCCATTCCAACACTAGAAATTGGCTACTCAGAAGGCAAACATCATAGTGATTTATACCCTTCCTTTGGTGAGTTCACAGGAAGTAAGACAGACTCCCAGATCACTCCTAACTTCTTTAATGGTTGCACCTCTGTTACATGTCCTAGAAATGTCCTGTGTGGTACAGAGCTAATATAAACACTCCTGATAGGACTTATCTTTAGAAAAGAAAGGTGATGAGTAGAAAAATGCAGGAATCATGAAACTAAGCATTTGAGAGAGATTCTGCCAACTACAGTGGCTGCCAGTACCTACAAGGTTAATATAGGCAACATGGTATTTACTGATGTCTTGTTTCCTCTGAAAGTCTATTGTTCCATACTTAAAGAAATGCCTAGAACCAGCCCACACTCCCACCCTCTGGGCATGGGGTCACTAAGGAGATTCCTTCATAGACAACATTTAGACAACATTTCACACAGCTGGTCACAATGTGTTAACTGGAGACTGAGCTCATTCTGTGTGATTACACTAAGAACAACTGGAAGTTTGCAGGTGCTGTACTCCAGAACAAATTTAGTCAACTAGCTTACTATTAAAGGACCAAAACAAACATGAGTTCTCTATTTGATTAATTTATTTATTAATAAACACAACAATTTGATAATTTCTTGTGGTTACTGTCAAACCAGAATGGGGTAAGTGGAAAGATGGCCCGTGTCTTAGAAATAACTCAATGACCCAAAAATGTCACCAAGGGCTGGAGATGTGGCTCAAGCAGTAGCGTGCTTGCCTGGCATGCGTGCGGCCCGGGTTTGATCCTCAGCACCACATACAAACAAAGATGTTGTGTCCACCGAATACTAAAAAATAAATATTAAAAAGATTCTCTTCTCTCTCTCTCTAAAAAAAAAAAAAAAAAAAAAACTCACCTTGTCCAAACAACAGCCTTACAAAGTTTTATAACTCGCAAAACAATCTTCTTAATAAACAGCAAGCACTACTTTTCTAAGTCTCACTGCAACAATGAATGTCCAATGATTGTCAAACTCTTCTTAACAGCAGCCGAATCACTACCATAATATACAGTCATGAGACATATACCAATGTTCTGCTCAAGGACATTTTGATCAAGGTTGGGCCACATATGCAATGGTTGTCTGTGGTGAAACAGATTCATTGTGCCTGTAGCAATGGTGGTGCAAACAAACCTAAGGCAGAAGCTCTTCCACAGTGTGGTAAAGCAACAAGTTTGTAGCCCAGGATTCTGAACTATCCCACACAGTCTGGGTGTGAAAGAGGCCACCATTCACATCTGTAAGCATGCTATGATGTCTGCACCGTGAAGGACAGACAAAAAGGAAATGTCCCTGCCACTTACACAGAAGCATACTCAAAGACTGAAAACATACAGAACCACCCCAAACAACGAAGAATCCAAAATTACCCTCAGAGACATCAGCCCAACTCTGTCAGGACAATGATGCAGACAGGAGGGCTTCATGGACCTTCAACCAAACGGGAAGCACACTGAGGTCTCAGGATCACAGCAACACTCTACAGGACATAAACCATACCCCTACAAGTGCACCGCCAGTGAAATCCCATGTATGCTCAAAGAACATGAGAGCTAAAGCAGAAATCAGATCAGAAGAAGCTGAAAGGCCTCCAGGGAAGGGGACATGAAACACAGGGCTCTGAACAGACACAGGACAAAGAGGTGACTCAAGAGAAAAGGTAACCATTTTGAAAGAAAAAAATGTAAAAGTCCATCATAGGAAATTCATAGAGAACACCAGAGGTGGCACTGTATTGGTATCTAAGTCATCCAACACACATTTCAGAAAAGAAGAGCTAAAAGCAACCAATGAAACTGCCACTTCAGAAAACCAGAGAAAGAAGAACAAGGTAAACCTAAATTAACCACAGGGAGGTAACAGAGAAGGTGTTGATGAAACCACAATTTGGAAATCCGCAGTCTGCAAATCAAGTTCTTCATGAACATCAGCATCACTGATTAACTGACAAAAGGCTAAGAATACAGAGGACAGGGACTGGGGTTGTGGCTTGCCTAGTGCTTGGGAGAAACTGGGTTCAATCCTCACTGCCACATAAAAAGAAAGAAATAAAACTGTAAAATATACAATAACATTAAAGAAAAAAGCATCGAGGACTGAAAACCTACTAACAGATTTAAAAATGTCATCATCAACAATGCATTGGGACTTCAAGATTCTCATAAACCTGCTTGACACAAATTAGACAACTGCAGAAACTGGACCATTTCTTTGAGAGAGACAATCTCCTACAACTTACACACAAGGGGAAATACACAAAACAGATGAGCCCATGGCTGCTGAAAAAAACAGACTCAATAACTAATTACTTCCCAAAAAGGCAAGGCAAGGCTCTGACATCTCAAACGGGCTTCCATGAGGCACATAAGAACTGCCACCAGTTTTCTACTTTTTTTCCAGAACATAAAAGCTGAGTTAACACCTCCTAAGTCTTCCTGAGGCATAAGTTACCATATTATCCAAATTAAATAGATAAAGAAAAGTATTAAATAGAAAAGAAGACTATGAAGCATGCTCATAATCATAAATGCAAAATTGAATCATAAATGCAAAAAACTGTACAATTAACTCATCACACTCCAGGTGTCTATGCAAATGATGTGAAAATTATGGGCACAGGAACCCTCACTGCAGTGACTACAGCAGCCATATCCAGAACGGCCCAAAGCTAGATGCAAGGAAGATGCACCTTTCAATACTGAATGGACAAGCTGCAGTTTAACCACACCAAAGAGCATCACCCAGAAAATGAGCTCTCAGCCTGGAAAGATACAGCACCCTTAAAGGCAGACAGGTAAGTGAGAGAAGCCAGTTTGAAATGGCCAAGTGCAGGAAGATTCCAAGTCAAGAACATTCTGGAAAAGACAACATTAGAGATGCACTAGCAGAACTGATGGGTGTCAGGGACTTAGGGAGCAGAGAGGGAGGAAGGAATGAGGAGGAGTGATGGACAGGTGGAACACTGGATTCCCAGAGCAGTGAAACTCTTCTGTATGACATTATCTTGTATACGACGTGACACACACAATCACATCACAAGGAAGAGGAACCCTAAAGTAAAGGATGAACTTTGGCTTATCCTAAATGTTGCTTCATCCATTCTCTTTATCAAATGTTCAACATGGGTTTAGTAACTAACAAACACCCTACACCAATGCAATATGTTGAAAACAGTGGAGACTATCAGCTGGAGAAAAGGGGTATTTGATACTATGTGTAATGGCACATTTAATTGTTACCTTGATTGGATTAAAAGATGCCAATGATTAATGAGCTTCTGGATGTGTCCATGAGGGTATGTCTACAAATGATTGGCATATGGGATAGTGAGCCAAACTGGAGAACCTCCTTAAACTATGCCGCACCATCCAATAGGACGGTGTCTTGGGTGGAACAAAATTCTTCACTCTCCCAAAGTGGACTCTACCAGTGATTCTCTAGTGAGTTTCCAGAATCTTTGGTCTGGACTAAGGCAGCACCATTGATCCCCCTTGTTCTCAGGCTTCAGCCTCTGGGACTCTGCATCTACTACTTCTCAAGCTCTCCAGCCTGCAGATGGACACTCTGGACATCCACCTTCGGGTCAAGTAGGCCAATCTAATGAATCCCCTTTGATAATCATACTTCCTCTTGATACTTTTCCTCTGGAGAACACTGACTAATAAACTATGTAAGCCTAAAATTGCTCATAAAAACAAAGTTTATCTAATAAATAAACTATCAAGCCATGAAGTTTTAAAAATGTATACATAACAAACAATATTAATATGCTAAATACCTTTTTCATAATAATGCAAAAATAAAGCAAAGAGGAAGAGTTGTAGTTACAAATTTCAAAAGTATGAACAAAAGCAAGAAAACTGATTTTCAATACTATTTTCATCTGGAAAGAAATTGGATGATAAGTCTTCAAAACTCATTCCAACTGCTGGTGTAGTGGTGTGCACCTGTAATTTCAGCCACTAGGGAGGTCAAGGCAGGGAAATGGCAAAAGTTTGAGGCCTGTCTCAGCAACATAGCAAGACACTCAGAAATTCAGTGAGACTAAATTTTTATTTTATCAAAAATAAAAGGGGCTCTGGGACTGTAGCTGAGTGGCAGACCACTTGCTAACATGTGTGAGACACGGGGTATGATCCTCAGCACCACAGAAAAATAAATAAAATAAAGGTATTCTATCCATCTACAACTATACAAAATATTTTTTTAAAAAAAGAAAAGAAATAAATAAGAAGAAGGGCTGAGGATGTGCTCAGTGGTCGAGTGCCTGTAGGTTTATTCCCCAGTAAAACACCTGCCTACCTCCAGAACGTTGCTCACAAATTGAAATTTTTTTCTGGAAGATAACTAAGCATGAGCATGTCCATGGCATCAATTCCCAGCACTCAATAAGTAAGCAAATAAATAAAGAACAGTCTACAATACCAATTCTCTTGGGCTGGAGAGTAGCTTGGTAAAATACATGGAATGAGAGATAAAAACGATTATGATACAAAAGGTACACAATTAGAGGCATAAAAACACAACAAAATCAGTAGAAAGACACCACACTTTCTCACAAAGAAGATTGAATGTTCCCATGATCTAAACTCTCTGAAAAAACACTGAGCTTTTCAGCAAATTCTGTGAAATTTAGGGCATGCTTTACTGTATTTTGGACGTAAACTTAAGAAAAACTATATCTAAACATGGAAATAGGAGGGTTGGGATTCTGGCTCAGCAGTAGAGTGCTTGCCGAGCACATGAGAGACCCTAGGTTTGATCCTCAGCACCACATAGAAATAAATAAATAGGTATTGTGTCCAACAACAGCAACAACAAAAAATAGTTTTCAAAAAATTGGAAACAGTAAACTGTATCTAACACCAGGCAAAATGTTGTACATGACAGAGAGAATACAAAGAGCATTTATATTACTCCCAGGTTTCATAAGCTAAAAGGCTAGCTCCCAAAGCGGTGGCCCTACGAGGAGGCAGTTGGGAGGGAACAGGAATTAGGTGACATGGTGAGGGGATCAGCACCCTTACTTAGACACATGGATCTCTCCTTTGCAGAAAACAGGTGTCATTTTCTCTTTCACTGATATTCAGTGATTAAATGATTACAGTTGGGTATTCAAGGCATTGCCAAAATTATCCTTAAAAATTACAATGAAGACGGGTGTGATGGTGCACACCTGTAACCCCAGTGGCCCTAGATGATATAGCAAGACTCTGTCTCAAAATAAAGAATCTAAAAGGGGCTGGTGGTTAAGCACCTCTGGGTTCCATTCCTGATAACAAAAAAACACACAGTTAACATGAACCTGCCACGTTAGGACAACAACAGTGAAAAACTGTCATCCTTTGTCAAATTCATCACCTTGTGAAGGACAGATACTAGTTTTCATGAAATCACATTCATAAATTTATCCACCACTATTTTTGTAGAATTGGACTCAAATTCTGCAGCAATAATGTAAGACAGAGTTTCTCTGTATCTTACGTGGTATTTTGGAATCTAGAGTTGGATTTCAATTTGAAATCATGAAAAGACAAATTTGAATCTTACAAACTTTCTATACATACTCAGGGGTAGCAAAAGGTAAATTAGGTAATTAGATGTTTTCTTTTTCTTTTTCTCTTTTTTCTTTTTTGTTTGATGCCCCCAAGATGAAACCCAGAGATATTTTACTACTGAGCCACATCCCCAGTCATTTTTATATTTTATTTTGAGACGCAGTCTCACCAGGTTGCATAAGGCCTCACTAAGTTGCTAAGGCTGTCCTCAAATTTGAAACACTCCTGTCTCAGCCTCTGGAGCAGGAAGGATCACAGGTGTGCACCATTGTATCTGGCTGTAAGTTAGGATTTTTAACCAAAAAAAAAAAAAAAAAAAAAGCTGGATTTTAATCCACCTCTCTCTTGCCTCTTTAATAATAGTCCATCCCATTTGGCTCTGAATAAATAAACCTGGGCCTCAGATAAGTGAGCACATCATTTCAAAGTGATACACAGAAAGCTTTGGTGTTGAGAGAGCACAGATGTGTCAGGCTCAAGGGGCAGGAAAGGTCCCTGACAGCTGGGACATGATACCTCCTGGTCTTGCTCATGGAAAGCATCCAGGATCACCCTCCCAGGAACCTGGACCATGACTCCAGTCTATGAGGCTTTTCAGGTCTGCACAGCTCTGCCCTGGGGTGGGTGGTCCTTATGCTTTGGGAGAGCTTGTGCTCCTTCACACTGTGAGAGACTGAAAGGGCAGGAGTCACTGCTGACCTGGCCCCTCAGCACCCGCATCCACAGGCTGACTGTCCACCTGTCTCCAAGGAATGGGAACAGAGCTTGGGGAAAACTAGGTCCCAAGGAAGTAGCTGTTTAGATGAGGCCTTTTCCAGGAGATTCCTCAGCCCAGGGCCCCCAGCAGCTTCCCTGAGAGGCTGCACCCCACACCTCAGGCTGTCCTCTAGGAGGAGCTGACCCAGGGCCTGAAATTCTGTTCACCCTGCAAGGCACAGGGCAGCTGTGGGCACTCTGTGGCAGCTCCAGGAGAGGATAGTGGCTGAGGACATGGGACTCTGGGACGTGCCCAAAGGGAACCTCTGCCCAAGAAATCTGACATGGTGTCTACACCTAAGGAAGAAAAAAGAAAAAGCACAAGATTTTTACAGCTGTGAACTCAAGTTCTCTATACAGTTGCATCTCCATCAAAGAACCTTCAGAGTACTTGACTTTGCCTAACTAGACCACCATGAGGGTGGAAAGGCAGGGTTCTGTATGGAGAGCAAACACTATCTTGGGCTAATCCTAAGCTCTTCAATAGCCAATCATCTTAATTTCTGTATCACACCACAATCTCAAAACTTCTCAGAATATATCACTGACCTTACCAGACATCTCCAAAATCTACCAAAGCTCAGAATCCAATAGCAGACATACAGAAGAAATTTTATTTTTTTCTTCTGTACCCCACCAAACTGATGTTCCTACCAATGCAATTGGTTAATGCAGTGATACACAGTTTCTTTTATAAAAGTTCATGGAGACCAGGCACAGTGGCACACAACTGCATTCCCAGCAGCTTGAGAGGCTAACATAGGAGGATTGCTAAATTCAAAGCCAGACTCAGCAACTTAGTGAGACCATCAGGAACTTAGTGACATCATGTCTGAAAATACAATATAAAAAGGGCTGGGAATGTGCCTCAGTGTTTAAGTGCCCCTGGGTTCAATCCTTGGTATATTAGAAAAAAGAAAGAAAAAAGAAAAATAAAGAAAGAAAAAAAGAAAGAGAGAAAATAAAGAAGAAAGAAAAAAAAAGTGATATAATCTCTTCCAGGGAGGAACACACACATCATTCAGGGTAACTTGAATCCATGTTCCTTAGTATGGTAATTAATATTTGGGTTAAAATGAACTATTTTCTGTAGCTGTGGTTGTCGATGCCTTTAAACCCAACAGATTGGGAAGCTGAGGCAGGAGAATCACAACTTTCAGGTCAGGCTGGGCACCATAGCCAGATCCCTTCTGAAAATCATACTGAAAACAGCTGGGGATGAAGGACAGTAAAGGAATCAGACATTATTATAGTAGCATCCCCTTTTTTCACAAAAAAAAAAAATATTAACTGGGTTTCTCCAGAAATCTTCACCATGGCTAATTTTAGGACTCTCAACAAAAGAGTGTCCACAAAAAAGTTCAGTGTAGATAAACTTCCTATTTTTGTGTTGCCCTATTTTATTGGGCTGCTAGTCTGGAAGAAATCAGCACTCCAGGTGCTGGACTCCCCCTTACTAATTTTTTTCACACTTGTATCCAGTATAGTACTTTGTAAAAATGTGCAAACAAGCCCTCTGGCCTTGAGCTAGGCTTCACAGAGAAGTCACCAACTAGGCTTCATGGTTACAGCTGGTGGGGGAAGAAAGAAAGGGGAGAAGAATCTCTCCCCTCCTCAGGTGCTGTCCTTGAAGGGTTAACTTGGCCAGAACAGAGAAACAAAAACCTGCTTTTATGTGTGTGATGTGACAACTTGACTATGATGACTCCACTTTGTGAACTCAGCCATGACACTCAAAAAGCTCATGACTGGGACTGTTTGTATACTTTTGCTCATGAAAATTCCCCAAGAACACAGAGTGATCTATGGGGCCAAATGGAGACTACCTGACCACAACTTTCAAGCTTGCTTACGTTGCCTGAACCCCCAAACTTCCCTTTTCTGGTTTTTGTGCTTAAATATGGAGCCAACTGAAGGCAGGGGCACCACTCTGACCATCTCATTCTTTCGAGAGCAGAGTGTCTGCCACTGGCCAGCAATAAAGGCTTAACTGGAATGAGACTGTGTGGTCTGAGAGTTCTTTGGGGGTCCCGGTATTACAATGTGAACTTCTGAGTCCCTCCCCTTACATGATGGGAATAAAATTCTGAAACCACCTGAACTCGGGGTTCAGGGGATTGATGGATTCATTACAGCAAAAGCAGTGCCCTCTGAGACTGGCTGCAGCCAGATAAACCTGTTTCCAGCTACCTTAGTGCCTTACCTCCTTTGTCCCTACATCATGATTACCCCGTGTGCTTACCTAACTACAGGACTGGTGTGACTCTACATCATGGACTCTCAGAAAAGGGAGCAGTTATACTCGATTGATGTAGCCCAGGATTCCATATCCCTGGGATCTATAAACAACCCCCTTATTCCCTTTAAAGCAGTTATTTTGACCAAACACAAGGAAGTGTTAAGTGATCATTCTTTCCCCTCAAGGATAATATTCACAAATAGAAAACAAATGCTTTCAAAAGTGTTCTTCTTGCCAGGGACATTGGCACAAGCCTGTAATCCCAGATATGCGGGGAGGCTGAAGCAGGAGGATCACAAGTTGGAGGCCAGCCCAGCTTCCAAAACACATGGAAGGGGGGAAGGGAGGGGGGAAGGGAGGGGGGAAGGGAGATTGATTGATTCTTTCCAATATTTCACTAAGCGATAATGACAATTAGCAGACGGTGTCTATTTGAAACGAGTGGGAAGAAGGAATCTCTGGCTGAGCTGTGAGGTGGAGGGAAGGTGGCCTTTTAGAGGACAGGAAGCGCCTGCAATTTGGAGGACCTCCACTGGGGGGAGCTCCACTGGGAGAAGGAAGGTGCATTTATGGTCCTGCTTCCTACACGTTGGGAAAAGTGAGTGCGGGACACAGGGAGCAAAGTGGACACCTGGGAGCTGAGCCTCCCTTCCAAACCCAGGGAACCAGGGGACAGGGCCCAGGGCCACCCGACAGAGGCGACTCCGCGCGACACACAGCAGCTCACCCGCCCGCCGGGCCCCAAGGCAGGTGCTGACCGCCTACCTTCGGCAAACTCACCATTTTTGGCTTCTCTGGTGACCTGGCGTCCTCTGGAGGAAACTCCGGGTCCCCAAGATCCCCGAGAACACGAGCAGCGCAGTCACCTGGGTCCCTGGAGCAGAGAACAAGGGGCCTGGAGCAGGAGTAACCCAGTCGGTGAGGAAGAAAAGCCCGCGAGCTTGCGGAAGCCCGCCCTTCCCCTCCCTCTGCGCACTGATTGGACAGTTCCCCCCAGCCAACCGGATGGATGGCCTCCAGGCCCGCCTCGGCATCGTGACTGACAGCTAACATCATCCAATCACTGGCTGAAATTGGGTAGAGTGACAGCTTCTTGGCCCCAGCCCTTTTCAGGAGGAGCTTCCCGGCTGTGCAGGGAACTAATCCAGGTGGGAAGCCTTGGCTTAGCCTCTGGGACAGAGGTGACACCTGGCGCTGAGCTATGCTTCAGCCATAGAGTGCTTTCCGAGCATGGGGAGGCCCTGGGTTTAACCTCAACACAAAAACAAAGCACAGCCACTCCAGGACGCTGAGGCTGGAGGAGCCCAAGGTCAGGTCTGCATCTGCAAACAGTGAGACCCTCTCTTAAAATGGAAAGGTGGGGATGGAGTTCAGAGGTAGGGGTCAAGCCCCATTGGGTTTGTTCCCCAGTACCTTAAAAAAGAAAGTACGATATTTTATTATATATAATATATATTATATATTTTTATAAAATATATATATTACATATTTTTATATATATAATATGTATTTTATATAGTATATTCTATATATAAAATAGATATTTTATATATTTTATACATATAATACATATATTATATAATATATATATATATTTCTCACACCAAGTACATCTAATCAGAATATTATACATTATATATATTATATATATATATATATATATAATATATATATAATATATATATTTTTCCCCAGCTGATGCGACCTCAAGCAACTTAGAAAGACAAGCTTTCCAAATTTTTGAAACACTATTTAAAGATATCATATATATGACCCATATATAATACCTAAAAATGAAAACAATTTGAAAACTATTTAGTAATTCTCCTCACCTCCTGGCCTCTGTTGCTTTGAGGAGGCTCCTGGTCTATGAAAGGAAGCAATTGGGATTTGGCTCTGATGCTCAAGGCTCCATCCCCAGCAGAAAGGGTGGGGGAGGAAGGAGGGCAATCCTCTAGGGCAGCAATGAGCAGTGGAAATAAAATGGGTGCATTGTGCTTAGTGTAGATGTTCTACTTCGACTGTTAGGAAGCCTTCTGCAGAGATGTGACTCTGGTGACCCCACAGGTCTGGTCAGGTGTTCATCCAAAACCAAACAGAAAAGGTTATGATGCAAAGCAGGAAAGAAACTTTGACCAGTGCAGCTACACCAGGAAGACAAGGAAACCCTGTCCTTACCCTGTCTTCAGATGCTGACGAGGACTTTGAGATTTTATAGAAAGGGTAATCATAGGCATGTATGGATAGGGGAAATTGTATCTAGGATTTAGTATTATCTGTAGGATTTAAGCTTCAGGCATCTGTGGTCTTATAACTTGTCTGTGAGCTCACACTCACTTGCCCCCTTGACACATGTCACTCCATTGCACAGACTGACCTCACTTTGTCAGGAGGAAGTCCCCCTCCAGTGTATTCTTTCCATGTCAAGGTTTTCAAGAAAAGCCACAAGCCCTAGGAAGCAACGTATCTCCAGTAGCTGACCCAGCACTCTCAGCATCCTGGGTTTCAACTGATAGTCCAACCAGAAAGAAACCAAATCCCTGCTCAGCTGGGCCCATTAACCTTGCATATGAACCATAAAAAATTGCCACTTGGGGCCAATACTGCCTGTCATGTCTATCCCCCTGTTGGAAATTAAGTACAATTTTATTCTCTACTCTCAAGTTGGGCTTTGTGAAGTCTTTCACATCCTGCTCACTGGCCCAAGTTCATTCTACCTAACAATATTGCCCATGGACTGGGGGGGGGGGGCTATTGTGTAAAAAGTCCTATTTCCACAGGTGTGGAAAAGTGGACACATAGCTGCCCAGGGCTGAGAATTGAATTCCAGGTGCCTTTATTGTCCCCCATGGTAGAGATTGAATTGAGGGCAGGGGCACTTTGCCACTTAGCATCCCTTTTATCGTGGTTCAGAGAAGGTAGGTGTGAGCATAACTGTAATGGGCCTGAGAGATACTCCAGATGGTGACTCCAACCTACTATCAATCCAATGAAGAAGTTGACAAATCAGAGGGTTAGACCAAGCATGTTTGTTCATGCCTGTGCATCCCAGAGGCTCAGGAGGCCGAGACAGGAGGATTGCTAGTTTCAATCTAGCATCAGCAAAATTGAGGTGCTAAGCAACTCAATGAGAGCCTGACTCTAAATAAAATACCAAACATGGCTGGGTATGAGAATATAGTATTTTCCTTAAATGTAGAATTGACTCGTAAGAAAGGCAACCTGAGGGCAAGGAGAGCAAAATGGAGAGTCACGTGTACAGCCTCAGACTGTGGATGTGGCAGATCCCGAGTCCGTGCACCTGAACCACCCTGGACACACAGGAGGTCGGGGAGGGGTCACCCTGACCAAGAGAGAAAGAAACAGTGTTGATTCAGGTAAAGTCAAAAGTGTCTACGTCCAAGATGCACTCAATCCAAGAAGACTTTCCTGGCACAAAAGGACAAAGGGAGTTGGGGACAACTAATGGTGTATTGCTTTATATACAAATATGTGGGGGTTTTGATACCAGGGATTTAACTGAGCGCTGCCTAACCACTGAGCCAAACTTCCAGCTCCTTTTTTACTTTTACACAGGGTCTGGCTAAGTGGCTTAGGGCCTCCTGAAGCTGCAGAGGCTGGCTTCCAACTTGAAGTTTTCCTGCATTAACCTCCCAAACCACTGGGATTTCAGGCATGTGCCCCTCTGCCCTGCAGCATGCTTCTTTAAACAGCCCAGTGGGACACAGGGAAACCCAGGTGAAGATCTGGAAGTTGGTGCACCCCATAGTACTTTGCCAAAGAGGAACTGGGGTGGGAAGCGGGGACCCTTGTGAACCAGAGGATAGAATGCTGACTGCAACTTGCCTGTTCGCCCAGATGTTCCATCCTGAAAGACTCTCAGCGAAAGCGGTGCTTTTTCTGTACCTGTGTCTCTTAGTCTTTTAGGGAACCCACCCAAGAATGGTGGGAACAGACGGTTAAGAGAATAATCCTGTAAAATGGGCCCACCGTGCTGACCAGCACATTCATTCTTTTCCAAAAAGCAATTTACCTGCAACTCTGCCTGGCCTAAGTGGACAAGAGGTGTCACATTCCTCAGAAAACTACCTGTGATCTGCATGAGAAATGCAGGCAGGAAACCCCCTAAGAGAAACCCAAGTGACTATGCAGGGACAGATTTTGTGACTCTTTCCACAGACCAGATTTTGGAAGAAAGGATAATTCTTTGGATAAGGATCCAATTAGAATGACTCAACGTGGGCCAAGGTGACATAGAGTTGCCATGACCATGGAGACTTGAAAGTATGATGTCACCCTGCTGTCAGAAGTCAAAAAGTGCACCTGGGCAGGACTCTCTGGAAACTTCCCAGGGACTCCAATAAAACTAGAGTGCAGAAGAGGCACATGGTCTCCCTGCTTTCTGATAGGACCCACTCTCGCCCTTGAGAATGTCCCCTTCCCCTTCAAGAAGTTCATGCCTGTTACAGGGTGACAAGTCTGAAAACTTTCTGATGTGATTGCAAAAATCAAGGGTTCAAGGGGGTCTTTTCACTGCCTCAGTTTCTCAGAAGGTCTCAGCTGTATAATGAGTTCATTCTCTAAAAAAAAAACAAATCAGAAACCTTCATTAACAAACAGCAACACAAAAAAAACAAAAATAGATCAGTAACCTACTAGAGCAGCCTCCGCAATTTAGCTTCACTCTGTCTCAAAATATAACTTGCAATAGAGATGTAGTTCCGGGCATGTAGTTCAGAGGGCCAGGCATGGTGGCACACACTTCAAGTCACAGCAGCTTGTGAGGCTGAGGCAGGAGGACCATGAGTTCAAAGCCAGCCTCAGCCATGGTGAGGTCCTAAGCAATTTGGCGAGACCCTTTCTCTAAATAAAATACAAAATAGGGCTGGGGATGGGGCTCAGTGGTTGAGTGCCCCTGTGTTCAATCCCCAGTCCCCACCCTCCTCAAAAAAGACATAAGAAAATAGAATGTAAACGGGCAGATATAAATCTAACGACATGAACAGTGACATTATATGGGAATTGACTGAGCAATCCTATCCAAAGGTAGAGGTCATCAGAAAAAAAATAAAATAAAAAGAATGTCCAATTCTACGCACCTGAGACCCAGATCAGGAAATGTAATGAGCAAACTAGTCCCAACTTTGCCCCAGATCTCCCTCCTGGCTGCCTGAGTGAATGCAGGTTGGGGGTCTGGCTTCCAACAAGACTCTGATCAGGAAGGGGAGACCCACAGAGGTATGGGGAAGCCCTGCTAGAGACCAGGTTGCCCTTGGTCAGGGTAGCCACAAAGGGCTTGGGGTTTGAAGTGGGCTCTTCCTCTGGCAGAAGAGCCAGGCCAACAGCCTACCAAGTGCTCCCTGGGAGGGGGGATTTGAAATTTGAAACTCTCCTGCCCACCTCTGGCCAGAAAAGTAATGAGAAGTGTCCTGCCAGTCCCCTGTTTTGGATGGTTTCAAAGTGAAGGGGGGCAGAGAGAGAGAGAGAGAGAGAGAGAGAGAGAGAGAGTTGTTGTAGTGATTGGTCAGAGCCTCTTGCTTCAGGACTGGAAGGCGGGGGGTCATTCAGAGTGGCTCCCCACATATCTCCTCTTCCTTAATATTTGAAGGCGATTGGGAAATTGCATCTTTCAGTCCCTGGATTCTTGGTCCAAGGTCATCATGATCTACTATTGAAACACAAAAGGCATTAGTAGAAAACATACTATCTCTGGGACATAACCAACTTGGAAGATCCTGGTTGTTATTATTATTGTTGTTGTTGTTGTTGTTGTTGTTGTTGTTGTTGTTGTTGTTATTATTATTATTATTCTGCCAAACACTCATCAGAAGATTCTTCATCTTTT